ATTTTTGTTTTCTTTTCACATGCATATTTAGGGGGAAATCGTAAAGTGCAAAAAAATGCACTTGCAGTTTACCTTTCATTTTATTTGGCGAACGGCTACATTCAGTGAGGACGAAATATCGGTCATTAGGCAGTTGTATGACGGCAATTTTCCACCCATTATTTTATAAATGTAAATTTTCAAGCTTGGCTTCCTTCGTCCTGCAAACGTTTTCGTAAGCGCCCTCATTCATGTCCCTAATATATTAAGCCTTCCCCTGAAGTTTGAGTTTGATCCCCAGTATCAGGCTCCACTTTCTTTAACCTGTAAAAACCACTGACTTTGGGGGCTTCGGTGAAATCGAGAGGGGCCCCTGCCTAAAAAAATAAACTGAGTCTTATCACCATCATTATCTTTACATTAATCCCATACATGTATATGTAATACGTTACAGCTCACGCGTTACTAGTATCTAGGTGCCTTGTTTTGGTAAAAAAAGTAACTTCTTAGTTATTTCGTTAGTTTTCAAAGGTGGCTACTAAGTTACTTTTCAAGAGCAGTAATAAGTAACGTATTTCGTTAGTAAGAACCGTTACGAGTAAGGGTGTTCAGTTACTTCAGAAGGGGAACGTTGACAACATAGGTACGCAGACTAGAGTTATAACTCCAGCTCGCTCTTTTGATCTTCAAGGCGAAAAAAACGTTAGATCGAAAAAAAAAAAGATGTGTACAAGGCATGTCAGTATAACTACAGTTATCCTTGAATGAATGTGTTAAAAAGCGACAAATTAGTAATAATGACAAATACGGACAGGCGGCAATACTGCTTCAGAAAAACGATATTCGATGTAACGACGACATCACGCGTTACTTTCGAACTGTAGTAACGAGTTAATCTTCAATGGCTGTAACGATTCATGTACTTAGTTTTTCTTTGAGTTAGTAACGACCGAGTAGCGATATTTAGAAACTTCGCTTCAGTAACGTGTACATGTTTGTCCGACCCACTAACCACAAGTTTACAAAAAAAAGAACAAAGAAAACGTCTTCCTCTAATTTATAGGAACATCCAGGGAGCTCCGCATCCATTAGGTCTGCGGTCTTAATCTGATGCCACTTCCTGGAGAGTTCGAACTCTCTGTTGAGTGAGTGAAGGAAAAGCGATAAACTTTCCTTAATTGGGTGTTCGGCCTACAAGAAACAGGATACGCTGGGCGGAAATTGGCCAGTCTGAGACTACTGAACTTCCGGGTGACTTCCTGTCACGTTCGAGAGTTTGACGAAGCAGAACGGAGGCTAAGATAGGGATAACAAAAGCTGCCTTCTCTCTAGAAACGTGTGCCGCTAGTCAGGCATGGGGGCATGCCGAGGTTTCAACGTGCTGGTAGATATTTTATAATTTATACATAATATGCTACAAAATTTTGACAAACGCTTTCAGTCAGATTACGATAGGGTTATTGACAAACTGGACGGGAACACTATCGGTCATCATAGTCAGTAATAAATTGTCCACGTCCTGCTTATTTTAAGTCTGATTAAACTAACATATCAATGTGCCACCTTCTGAGTTCAAGTTCCACCGACCGAAATTGCTATATTTTAGCTAAAAATCGTACAGCTGCAGCATTAGTGCGTCACGTAAAAATATAATTTGCGATTGTCCAAATATTTGTTTTATGACAGAGGAACCCGCTTAAAAGATGACTCTTGTTTACTTCCGATAATATTCGTGGGATTGCCCTAACTTAATTGATAAGTTAGGAGCAACACATTGTTACATAAATGGTCCAAACCGCATTGTGCGAAAATTGAGGGGAAGTAAAATTATATTCTGTTATACATATCAGGATTAGATGTGTGTATCAGAAGTTCAGCATTTATCGCGCTTTGGTAAAAAAAAAAAAAAAAACTTTACGAACAAGATAACCAACTGTACCTAAATGACAACGAGTATAACCTAAAGAAAAATCTCAAAAACTTTTGGCGCTTTACGACGCAACATTTTCGTGAAAATAAGTCAAATATTTGGCTCCGAGACGACAATGGTTATCTGTGTTCTCAGGCCGATATTGCAACTCGTTTTGCTGAGTATTTCAGTTCCTGCATTTCTTCTTTTCCCACGAGCAGCTCTTTTAGTTCCGTTGACGTTGAGTGTTCCGATTATCTCTCTACATTTACTGTTTGAAATAGGACATTTTAGAAGCTATTAAAGTACTGAAACCAAAACTATCAACCGGCATTCATGGCGTACCTTGTTTTATTATAAAAGGTTGTTCTATTTTTGCTCCAGTTTTAATTCACATTTTCAACTTGTCTCATGCACAGGGTTATTTCCCTGAACTTTGGAAATTCTCCGCAGTTGTGCCTATTTTTAAATCCGATTATTCTACATTGGTTAACAACCACCGGCCGGTGTCACTGTTATGTGGATTTACAAAAGTATTTGAAAAAGTAGTTTATAAACGCCTTTACTTTTATCTGAGCCCGATGATAACTGAAGCTCAGCACGGACTTTTAAAGGGGAGATCGGTTGAGTCTAACTTATGCTCATTTTTAAATTTCTCAGCGCCAATTGTGTCCAATAGGGGACAGGTGGATGCGATCTATTTCGACATGTCGAAAGCGTTCGACCGTGTTAGTCATGATTTACTTCTACAAAAACTCCCTCTGCATGGTTTCAGCCACACCTGTGCGTATGGTTTTCTGGTTATTTAAAAGGTCGTCGAAACTCTGTTCGTGTTGAAGAATGCTACTTCGACGAGTTTGTTTCTAAATCCGGGTGTCCCAGGGGTCCATCCTGGGACCGCTTTTGTTTATTTTGTTTATAAATTATATTGTTTCCTGTGTTGGTGACGCAAAAATTATTTTCTTTGCCGATGATGTTAAACTATTTTTAAGTGTGAGGTCAGTATTGGATTGCACTCGTCTTCAAGCTGATGTAGAACATGTTTCAAATTGGTGCTCCAAAAAACAACTTGTCGTTTTATCCCGTGAAAACTAAACATATTGTACTATCTAGACAGCGTGAATTCATTTCTTTTTCTTACAACCTTGAAGGCGCTTTGATAAATGGGGTATCTTTTGTAAGGGCCGGGTCTTGGTGTCCGTATTGACAGTTCACTTTTTTTCTAAGAACATGTGTCTATAACTGTTAATGCTGCGTAAAGAGTGTGAGGCATTATTTCTCGGTTATGTAGGCGGTTCTCATCGCCCTCTTATTTGTTGCATTTGTTTAAGTCACTAGTTAGATCACGGTGAGAATTTGGCTCGGTAATCTGGAATTCATTATCTCTTGGTCAGGCGATAGAAATGGAAAATGTACAAAAGCGGCTGATAAGAATTTTGTAGGACCGCTATATTGGAAGGAGGTCTTTTTATCATTATGAAACGCTACTTCACCGGTTTGCATTATATAAGCTTGCTGTGAGTAGGCAGTTCAGAGATTTTGTTTTTCTTCATAACGTTGCTCATGGTCACGTCAGATCAATGGATTTACTACGGTTCATTGACTTCCATGTTACATCAAGAGCCAGCCGGAATGTATTAACGTTTTATCCATCTTGCTTGTCCCCTGTATCCCCTTTGTCACGGATTCAATTGGCCTTCAATAAGGAACATCACCTGGATATTTTCATATGTCTTCGGGAATTTACCTTGCTTGTTCGTGAATGGGTGTCTTTCGCCTAGAATGATTTTTTTTTGTGTGGTATTTGTATTGAGTATTTTAGCTTTTGCGGTATTTGTATTTTAGTATATTGTGCACCACAGTGGAGACTGAAAAGTTGTTTGTGGGCACAGAAAATAAAGAATTATTATTATATTATATTATTATAGTCAGTGACAGGTTAAAAGTTAAGGGCGAGAGAAAGAAACGCAGGGGAGGAGGAAGCAGATGGATTGCTGGAGAGCAGAGAAGAAAACGTCCCCCCCTCTCCGGAATTCCGCCTGCTTCCTCCTCCCCAGCCTTCCTTTCCCTCGCCCTGAACCCTTAACGGTCACCGACTATAGTTGAAATCTTGAACCCACAAAATCACAGACACGCATTTTCTTTTCACTTGAGAAACGTTTGCACACTTTTAAGTAGTAAACTTCTGTAAAGTTGATTGTATATCATTACACGTGCGTTATAGACCACCCCAGGTCACACTAAGCGACAATAAGGTGACAACACGGATATGTTCGTAAATCAGGACGGCAAGAATATGCGCCTACAACCAGAAATACTATTTTATAACTGACGGCCAAACCCATCCTCATTAGACTCCACCCTTAATCAAACGCTGGCTAGAAGGCTGCTCGTAGTCAGGACAGGTTCGATTCAAGGAATCCCAGCTAAAACTTGCCTTTTAACCGCGCTCCAGTAAAGATTGTAATCTCGCCATGTATTTTCCTGCGCACTCAGGGAAATTCGATAAAGACAGTAAAGGAAAAAAAATAAAAATAATAGTAGGCAAAGTGTATTAACGCAACAAAACTCAAACACCTGGAGAGAAGCCACGCGCTACAGAACCCAGGGGTCCTAAGTTCAATTCCCATCCCTACCCATTTCCATCCGGATGAGCATCGTACCGGCGTGCGGTCCTGTATCTCTGCTGCGTCCTGCAAGTTAAACACGGCCGGCTGGCGGTTGTACTGCGCTATAGTCCGTTGCAACTTAAGAAGGAAAGGCGAGCGTAAGACGGGCCGGGGAAAAGGAAGCAGACGGAACGCTGGAGAAGAGAGGTGGAAACCTCCTTCACTCTTTAGCGTTCCGTCTGCTTCCTCCTCCCCGGCCCGTCTTACCCTCGCCCTACCTTCTTGAGTTGCAACGGACCATAGCAAAATATCTCATCTATACCGGATGCAATAGGCTCCCATTTCGGCTGACTAACTTCCGCTGTCCTACAACACAATTAATTTCACTCCTCGCTTGCACTTCTATTCTCCAGGGAACATCTCGAATGAAAAATGTTCCTTGTCTCGAGCTCAAGCACACTCACGCAACTCTCTTTAAAATCCCCTTTTCCCTCGTCACGCAGGTTGTTCGCCGTCAAGCGCTGCGCCCGCTGCCAACAAGGCATCTTCGCCTCGGAACTGGTCATGAGAGCGAGGGACCTCGTCTATCACCTGCATTGCTTCACGTGCGCCTGGTGCAACGCCGCGCTGGCGCAGGGGGACCACTTCGGACTGCGCGACAACCTCGTTTACTGCCGCACCCACTTCGAGCTGCTGGCCGAGGGCTGCCAGCCGGGCTTGGCGCCCATGCTGGACGACGAGGCGCCGCCAGGACCCCTGACCGCCGGGCCGCCTCCGGCCTACGTACCGCCCCAGGGTCAATACGGGGTCCGCAAGGGAAGGCCCCGCAAAAGAAAGCCAGGAGATCTGCCGGACGGTCCGCAACACATCGGTACGCCCGCATGATGTCCGCGTTTCTGCGGCGTCTGGTTTTAAAGTCCGCAGAATAGACCCCTCTCACCAAGAGGTCTGCGCATGTGTGACACCACCGTAACTTTAGTTCTGAAGAGGAGAAATGCAGTACGCGCGACGGATCGTGCCGTCTCGTGCTTCGCACACATTGACCTGCAGTGACCTTATCGCTCGCGCCGGAAGACTAAACTTCTCTTGATACATTCCGGAAACGGCGGCGTAGTAAAACAGGGTGGTGTAAAGTGCTTCAATGTGCTTCTGTTTGTGGCGATGCCACCCTTTGTATACTCTGTTTCATACTTAGTGTGCAACGCTGTCACAGCTACTGGCGCGAGCGCGTGGCTTCATCTATGGTTTTGTTTGCGCAAGAACGCGTGCAGATGATCAAGGAGATTAAGCCCCACGCTCGCGCCAATAGCTTTGACAGCGTTGCACGCTAAGTATGAAACAGAGTATAATACCCGATGCCGACATCACGCGCCCAAGAGGCAAATACAAAGATATATCTGAGAAAAAAATCTCGCCGTAGCGTGGCCAGCGCCACGAGCGAGTGCAGTGACACGCTCTTTCACGCGTTTCAGAACAAAAAATAAATATAACTGTTCGTAAGAAAATGGCCAGATGTCATCACCCTAAGCAAAGCGCACATGAAGGCACCCTAGGCTGGCGAGATGGGTCTATTCGGAAGTGGGCACCGGGTAGCAAATCGGTCTCTAGACTTTACAGCTAAATTTGAGGAGAATTATAGTATGGTTTGCATCAAACTGTTCGGCAAAGGTTTGTTGCTCACCTAGAGACGTTTGCAAGGAGTCACTCTTCAAAAAGTTGTCTGGCCACCGTGGATGTAAAATTATTTTGTTTGGGCGCAAGTTTAGCAACGTTGTGCACGCCTTAGGAAGTTACTAGAATACTCAGTTGGGAAACTTCCATAGGAGCCTGGTTTGAAAAAGTGGCTGCAATCCGTACTCGAGAACCGAACTAAGGCGATTACGACGCCGACGTTTCTCCCGCAGCGGCCACTCCGGGTACTGCACGGCTGCACGTATTGGGAAATAAGTGCCGAAGGAACACGGGGGTTATTTCTTCCGTGTTCCTTCAGCGCTTATTTCCTATGATGTACCAACTAGCCCATCTAAGCATTTTATTGTACGTATAGCTTCAGGTCGAGTCGCGCAAGGGCCGGTGGCGCCATCTTGCGGGGCCATCTCGCAGTAGCTATATAAAGCAACTTTAATATTTGGACTCGAAGCTATATGGTGGCGATGTTATCGTATTCAGGTTGGTTTTGATGGACGCCAGCGGTCCAGGTTTCAAAGGTGAGTTTCCCAACTGAGTGCTTTAGTAACGTTTGAAAGGCTTGACCATAGACGGTCTGCATGGCTGCAGCAAGAGGGTGGCGCAAAGAGGCCGTGTTTGCAAACGCTTTAGTGTGTAAGACAAAAGAATAATGCGAAAAAGCTCCTCCCACAACCTCTTTAAAGGTAGCCACTGCTCCTCCACGATGAGTATTGTGTCCTCTACTCAGGCGCACGTAGCGCTGAGGTCACATAACATCGTTGTGGATACTGCCCCTCTTCGTTGGTCTGCCGAAACATTCGAAGCCGTGGCTTGTAGGTTGTGGAATGTATTAGGCATATTACTAAAGGTGCGCTGAGGAGGCTTCTGACAACGCCTAAATATGACGAAAAGTAAACTCTAAGGGCTCTGAACATCCTAGAAATCCATAAATAATAACGAGGCGCGACCGATTTTTCTATTTAAACTGCAATCAAAAATCCAACGCACCGAATTCCTTCGGCTATGGGAGGGGCAATGTTCCGGCAGCCAGTACGACATGGGACCAATGAGAACGCGACTTTTTGTATAGATTGCAAACGCTGGTATTACAAAATCTTAATGTTTTTGTATATGATAAAAACAGATAAGAGTATTCCAGAGATGTTACTTTTTGCGGAGAGGGAACATAATACTGCAACAATTTTCTAAACACAGCGCACTATGTTTGAAGTTAAAGCAAGTAGGCAGGCGAGTTGGTTAAGGTTAAGTTTCGTGTCTGTCCGCCCCCTTTTTTGTCCCCTCGCTCCAGGGTCTATGTCTGCACAATGTTTGTTTGTTGCTGTCTTTTCTGGTCTTTTTTTATTGCGGGAGTAATTTGTTTGTTTGTCAGCTCTCGAGCGCTCGAACGCTCACTCGCTGGGTTGAACAGTAGCGCGGCTGTATGGACAACGAACCATTCGATATATCACTCTGCGGTTATACCGGCCGCAGGCGCCAGGATCCTTTGCTTGCTATTGGCTGACAGTGGTACTTGTTTCGGAACATGCTCCTCCCTTCACCAGAGATGACTTCGATGTGTTGCGATCTTTGATTACTTTTCTAACAGAGAAATCGGTCGCGTATCGTCACGATTTCGGGATTTCTAGGATGCTTAGAGTCAGCAGAGTGAGTTATCGCCATACATTGGTGATCTCAGAAACCCCCTCAGGGCACCTTTACATCAGACTATAAGTGCTAAGTCATCCGGACGTGGGGTCAATGACATTTCGGTGTAGGACGTTTCGTTTTGGACTGTCGCTGCATCCACTTCTCGGTGCACATCCTTTGAAATCTTGGTTATACTTTAGTTGTCTCTGGACGTATGTCACATATTTTATTACTTATACTGCTTGAACTTACATATTCACACAATATTTGTGTTTCCTTTCGGTATGAATCACTTTCATCATTGCCTCAACATATAACAATTCTTTTATTTGCTAAGATTTTTTTTTATCGAATGACTAAGAGACTATTTTCAACTTACTTGTCCCCACTCGACCCCTCTTTTGCAGTATATATTTGGTGATCTTTTTTATGCCATTATATTGACTTACATAACCTAAAGCTCAACAAATCCTTAAATTAAATACATAAGCTAAAGCTCAACCAACCCTTTAAATTTCCTGAATGTCTTTCGCTAAGAAAATACGTTGCATTTCTCTGCGAAATGCATCGATTGTTTAGCGCTTCTAAATGACTGCCTTCACAGCTCGATTCAGATATATTTTCGCCAACTAAAATGACTTTCAATATATTATTCTTAGATCGGAGACGCAATTAATTTTATTTTTGTAGTCTATAGTTCCTATAGTTTTTTCATATTTTTAATAGGAAAACCAGATAATAAAGTAAGCCAATTAAAGTTTTGAGCATATCGAAACGTCCTGTACGTTTCATGCATCAAAATAATAAAGCTTACGAAGATCTGGAGCTTCTGCTGGAGGTTCAATTATTCATTCTCACACAGATATCGAATTTACATCAAAATATTCGTGCACTGAAACGTTCGTACACCGAAAACGTCCGTGCACCGAAACGGCCGCACCAAAACGTGCCACACCGAAATGTCCGGATACCCCGGATGTGTTTCCCTAGTTGTCCAAGCAGTGATATCCTCTTGGCTTACCAGGCCTTCCGGACCTGGCTTCCCTTGACGGCAACGGCCCGTCGGCACTCCAGCAGCAGCAGCAGCAGCAGCAACGCACCAAGCGCATGCGCACCTCATTCAAGCATCACCAGTTGAGGACCATGAAGTCCTACTTCGCCATCAACCAGAATCCCGACGCCAAGGACCTTAAGCAACTCGCTCAGAAGACGGGACTGTCCAAGAGAGTGCTCCAGGTACGAGCAGCGTTGTTCACACTCCTCATCTGGAACAAAATTTCTTTTCGCGTTCATTCGGTCTTCTAGTTTGAACGACCTCCCATAGCGAGTCTAACTGAATGAGATGGTACAAATTTGCATTCAAGATTCAAGAAATGTCATGTTTCTTTTGACTTATTTAGGTTAAGATGTGATATTAGGAAGAGGGGTGCAAGGAATACTTCTAGCCTAAGCTGCGCCAACCAAAACAAGTTGTACATTCCACGAGGGGAAGACCACTCGCGCCGGAGATTTAGTCATAGTTTCAAATTCCCATACGTAATCGGACTGCGTCTGGCGAGATTTTTTCCTCTGTCTCCCTCCGTTATACACTTAACGAAAAATAAAACATTCCTGTCATAATTATTATAATTATTATTAACTTTTTTTAAATAGGGTTGCTTATACTAAATTTGTAAGAGATAAAATATCTCGGAATAATAAATCCTTCATTTTTTACATATCAACAGTTAAATAAAGTTAACGTCGGTGCCTCTTTTGTTAAGCAGATTAAGCAGATTCGTTAAGACCTCGCGAATTCCTAAGATTCGTGAGGTCTTCATGAGGATCACTTTCGGAGGCAATGACGGTTCGTAAAACACAACACGTCAGCGACGGAAAAGTCCTCTGCTCAGAAAGCTCGGTGGTATTTTACTTTTCGCATACCTTCAAAAGAGTAATGGAGACTTAAAAGCTGGTAATGAGCCATGTCGTCTCCCGTTACACGTCAATGTAACACAAGTACGAAAAATGAAAGCAATCTGAAACATAAGAAAATTAAGGGCTCTAATCGCTCAGCACAACATATCTACCTGATTGTCATCTTTCTTGGGCAACGTATTTTCACAACTGAAGACCTCTGTGTTGTGTGTCCTTCAACACGCACTTATTGCAGTCGATATTCTGGTCCTTAAATTATTCGACAAAGTTATCTACTTCTGTGCGAACTACCATATGCCTAGAAGAAAATTATGCAGCTTTTACTACTTGACATATAATTTATGGGGTTTTTCTTTGTTATGATCTTCAAACTTTTAGGAATGCAAGTTGGGCTAGTTGGTTCTGATCGTGCTGAGGTCTCACGCCCAACGTTTTTGGCTAAAACTCCATTTTGAAACCTTTTAATTAACATCCAAAGATAGTAAAACAAAAAAAAAACTTGTTCAATGAAAAGAAATGACACTAGAAACGAACGGGAATGTTTGCAGCAATGATGTCGAAGAATACCAGCGTTAATCAGAGAAGTGTTGTTATAAACATATAAAAAAAATGGTGGCCGACTGTATTACTGCACCGTAGCTTGGAGAATGTGGAGCAAAAGATCGCGCTGCAGAATCGAGGGATATGAAGTTCACTCCCCACCCCTGTCTTTTTCCGACATGAATGAGCATCGCAATGGCGTGCGGTTGTGTAAATTATGTCCCTACTGCATGATGCACTTTAAAGACATCAGGCTATAAGTTGTTCTGTCTGGGCCAATTTCTCCTCTACTGCCTCAACCAGTGTCGGTACTGCAGAGCGACCTCCCGCTGTCCAAACATCTAAAGTCTAGTTCGAGTTTATTCTATGCCGTATAACTCCCTGAAAAAGCTCTTCTCACCTTGCTTTCGTTTTTTGTTTTTTTCTGTTCTCATCCAGGTCTGGTTCCAGAACGCACGGGCAAAATGGCGGCGGAACAATCTGCGCCAGCAGGAACAGCCAACCACGTCACTTCCGGCGAGCAGTCCAGGAGGAACGAGCTCCTTTTCTGAACCAAGTCCCGGAGCCCCGCTGGACTACAGCAGCGCTCAGACGACCCTGGTGGTGACGGCGTCCCAGGAGTCTCTCGGATCCTTCCAGGAGCTCTTCTGATGGCGTGCAAATCACATCCCATTATTTATTTCCGTTTGTCCATCGAACGTCCTTCATTTCGGCTCCGGATGAGCCTGGGAGTGAGAAAGAGAGGTGTCGTGCGATTGGTACCGCCACTTCGTGATATTAGGAAGTTTCAGGAAACCGTTTCTTCTGAACGATCGAGACGGCTCAGACGGCAAGACCCCGGTGCCCAGTGCCGGCGTCTCACCGCCTTTAGGTCGTACATAAAATGTACAAAACGATTTCCGGAAACTCCCTGTTGCTCTTTCGTTCCGGAATCAAACCTTTCCAACGTAGGCGGATACCAAATATTTTCGACAGTGATGTCCGAAGAAGTTTGAATGTCAAGATTCTACAGAAGAGGGTCTCGAATCAGCGCCAGGCACTTGCATTCTCAACACCTTAGACCCCGTTCTGTCACAGCCGTTTTTCAAACACTTTAAATGAGAGAAATTATCCGGACTTATGTGCTCGCTTGCTTGTGAAAAAGAAACATACTTCCTGTATTGGCTAAAATAATCACGTAATGATGCACAAGACACGACGATACGGGAACCGCAAAAGGCAGTTGGCTAAGGTGGTGCGTGTGCGGGATGTCTCAGAACGTCCGTAATGATTCGTTTTGTCCATCCCTCGCTCTACAATCTCCTTAAAATATTGATAGACGCTGCTCATCAGTACATTCGTGTGAACGCTGTTATTCCTGCAACGTTTAAAGAACCTTCGCCGGGGTTAACAGTCTTACCACGAGGAAATAGTCTCAAAGTAGAAAGTAATTGCCAACAAACACAGCTAATGACCTTCAGACGTTAGGAAAAGCACTCTCAAGACAGAAAGTGATGACCAACAAACAGAGTGCAGAAACATCTTACACTTACAACCAAAAAAAAAAAAAAAAGTCATCCTGGCGTTTTACCTCACTGTACATATTTTCGACTGCCCTTCACGTATATATCGGATCGTTCGATTGATGTTCCAAAGTCATACGTACCATATGCGCATATCGATTCACCGGTCATTTGGCTCTTCGCGAGCGGGAAGTTTCCAAGGAGCGGGAGATAGCGAAAATCGCCTCCGTCCCGAGTCACGTCATTGAACATCATCGTCATAACTGTCTTAGAGTGGTTCGAACGTCATATCCGGTGTGTGATAATTGGTCGCGGGCTCCGATGTGTGCGGACTCAGCGAAAATCGGAAACATGATTTGAACTGCAAAACTGTCCGCGATCTCCTAGGTGCCCGCGGCGGAGATGCATGTGGTGAATTCATCCTCGTCAGTGTACATACTTCACTTACGGAACTGGGTCTCGTAGAGGCCCCAGAACCGCCAAAATAAACCTGAAAGACTCAGCGCTTGTGTGGATCTGTTGCTTGTTTGCGATGTTCACAATCTTATTTGAGTGAACGCCTACTCAAGTTGAAACATCTCGTAGCTCAATTAAAGTTTTAGTGCTGAATTTTGTTGTAAGCTAAAGAGGGCCACCGTAGGGGCGAGGATAGGGCACGTGTGCTGCGCCCGCGTTCGGCTGAGGCTCGTGTTCTCACTGATTAGGCACGAATGACAGCCAAACGCTGACACATCACTCGTGCTGACTTTTTTATGTGACGCCGTAAACTCAGCTCTAGGTCTTTCTTATCTCGGAGATGTTGCCAGTCGGCTGTGTCACGGGACGGCAGAAAAGGTAAAAAAAAAAAAAAAAAAGCTGCTATTCTGCTCTTTGAGGAAGTTTCGGGTTAGCGTTGCAAAGCGTACGCCGAAGCTTACCACGACAATTAATTTTTTTTAAAGATTAAGCATTGTAGAGAACTTTTGGTGAAGGGTATCTATGCGCGCCAAATTTTTTTGTAATAAGTGTCTAACATTCCACGCTACCTAAAGAGCTAGGATGATGGCAGGGCCATCTCCAGAACTTTGAAAAATAACATTGAACTCAATTTTGTGGCAGTTTCTTAGAAATGAACATGGTAGTGAGCTACTGCCGGTCCTCAACCACCAGTCCGTTCGAAGGTTTTTGTGCCCATTCGTGTGTTCGCGTCAAGGGGAGTAGGTGTTCTTTGTAGCATTCCGATGATCGTGACACAGAAGTGTAGCTTCTGACAGATACTGTTTAGGAATAAGAAAATAAAAAAAAAAAAACTTAAAGGACGATCCGGTGGTGGATTCTTAGGAAATGTGCTAGTATGACCATCGGGATGCCCCACGCAAGTCCCCTTTCGGGGAACGTTAACGTTGACTCCTTTACTTTTATGTTTTGTCTTTCTTTTTTGCTTCCTCTATTTTTTTTTTTTCTGCTTCTTTTTGGCCTCGGTAAGCTGTCAGAGTTAGCGTTTTTCAAAAGGGACGTGTGTGGCGTTTCTCGAGGGTCATGCTAAGGCATCCCCTAAAAATCCACCAATGGATCTTCCCTTCATTTTTTTCACCCCTTTTCTGTGCTCTGTTTGTCAGAGTTAGTTGACGCCCTTGGAGATGGTAAGTCATATCAAAGCACCACATCCCTTACACTAGTTGAAGGAACCACATCCATCGTTTAAACTACACATAGATATCACATCTATGTGTAGATGTGATATCTATGTGATATCTACACATAGATATCACATCTTACGCACCGCTACTACGGAAACCCAAAGCGGAGAAAATCCGGCGACGGCAGAGCATCAACAGGACACGCCCGCATTCCACCGCGCAGCAGCGCCTCCTCCTTTCTGGCTCTGCGCCAGCTATGCGACGATCCATTGAGAAAAACAAAAACCCAGAGTTTGACAAAAACTCGGTGGTGTCTGTCAGTTTGTCAGCGACGGGGAGAGAGGGAGAGTGTGACATGTGTTCATGTCAGCGTTTAGGACCAATGGGAGACTCTCACGCGTCGACCACTCTCCCTCATTCTTCTTCTCGCCCCAGCGCTGACAAACTGACAGACACCGCAGGGTTTTCGTCAAAACGAACGTTCTAATGCTAATGCGTTAAAAAAAAACTCGGAGATTCGGGATCTGGGTAAAAGGTAGTTGTACAGGCAGGCTCACTATAGCTGTTGTGAGTCAGCGGTGATGACGCATCGCTTAATGGGGAATGTCGCCATCGAGAAGTGGTCATGGCCGAGGATACAGTTTAAGCCACCAGACCGCCACCTCTTGTATAAAACTTCACTGTAGCCAACTTTTTTTTTTACCGTTGGAGATATATAAAATATTATTTATGCAAGAAGGTGAAGGAACAAACACTGTATTTGGGCGAGCCTGAAATCTCTGTGCCCCCTATAGTGCACTCTAAAAAGAGTCTAGTGCGTTCACTTTCCCGCAGAACAGTGGGAGAGTCAATCACCGCAACTTACTGAGGCAGCTCAGCGAATGACGATGCCGAAACATATGTTTACACCAAAAAACGCAGTCTGCGTTGTGACATTAAGCAATGCAAGCGTGACGTTTTGCGTTGCCTAATGTCACAACTCAGACTGCGTTTTTTGGTTTAAATATATGTTTCCGCATCGTCATTCGCTGAGCTGCCTCCGTAAGTAGCGGTGATTGGCACTCCGAGTGTTGTTCGTAAAAGCAGACGCACAGACGTTTTTTAGAGTCTGTCTTTATGTTTACTTATCTTAATATGCATATCATAACCAATGAGCACACCTCAAAAGAGTATCGCAAAACTTGTTGATAACATTTTGGTGGCGAGGCTCCTGACTTCCACACCTGATGCTTAGTAGGATATTCGGTATGCACAAGGAACACCGGAAGACTGTATGGTACTTTCTGAAATGATACACACCCACAAACATGCAAGAACTACACGGAAGTATACTTGAAGAAATCTTAAATATTATAATATTTATTGCCATTAAAATACCGAATCAATTACAGGCACTTGTTTGTGGAATTCTTCGAGGGCTCGAACTACACGCACCAAGGTGACAGTTTTACCGTCTGCATGGCGTCAAACACAGGGAATCAGATGAAATATGAAGCACACATTCGGTAAATACTCACAGTCAAATGACGCTTTAAATCATATTATTTACGACAAAAAAAAAATGTCAGCGTTTAGAGCCTCCCTGGACCCCTTGAGCAAACAGGCAAAATATACCTTCTCTTGGCAAATAATCATAGTAGTGATCAACACATACAAAACATCCCGACGTCGCCCCTGCTCCGCGAAGGCTCAAAGAGAGCCTCCGCATCCCCACCCATTCAATCCGGAATAAGTAAACGGTAAGTGGCATCCGATAAACGCAACAAAAACACGGCCAAAGTCGCAACGCCTCCTCCGGCTTCCGGCGGCTGTCACGGTTCCTCGAGTGGCGGCTCCGACGTGAACGGACGTTGCACTGTTCTTTATTTCTTCTCTTTTCTCGAACAGCCTTCCGCCGCTTCCTCCGATCGTATCCATCCACGGGCCTCGAAGAGGGGAAGTCGTTTAAGTGGAGGCGCGTGCGACTGCGGTGCTGCTGCTAACCCGGACCGCTTCGAGGGTCTCTGCGGAACTTGGGTACCGACACGAGCCCCTGGATCTTCTCACGGGAGTCACGGCTGAACACTCCAATAGAAAGAGACTGCTGCCCTCGCCGCGTTTTTTTTCCGGAGGATAGTGTATGCAAGATATGCAGCTTCCTCCTACACGCGCTCTTTGTTCTTTTGTTTAGATATATTTTGTTTTGTCTGCTTATGAAAGGTGGGTTGGCTCGTGCCCGTGATTTGCTCGTTTGTTGTAGAGGTTTTGAATAGTGCTGTTCGGTTTGCACGAGATCAATGTTATTTTTCTAATGGCTTATTGAGGTGTTTTAATTAGCTGGTCGATTCATTATTTAGGTTATAACCAAGACTTATTCTGCAGGGTGCGATAAAAAAATGCAATCCTTTTTTTAAGCAGGCATAACTTACACATTACAGAAATCTGAAACTCCGTATCAATATGGTGCTAGGACAGGGGCGGATGCAGAACTTTCCTGAGGGGGGGGCGGTCAGGTGTTGGTCAGCATACCATATCTTTAGGAACCCCCTCCCCCTCTCCCACATTTCATGCCCCAAATTTTACACATGCAGAAATCAAGAGGCAGGTCAGGACATGCGGACCCCCCCCCCCCCCCCCCTCTAAATCCACCCCTGTGCTAGGATGCGGAAGTTTTTGAAAATACGTGAATCAAAAGATTGAAAACAAAAAATGCTATATAATTGTTGTTTTTTTCACACACACACACACACACACACAAGAAAGTAATTTTTGACGCTTATGTGTTTGTTTCAACTGAAAAATGAAAGAAACTCGTCGCAGGGATTTTTCTTTAGGTAGCAAAATGTATGTTCACTGAAATAAAATGTGTAGGCGCCCAGAATACATTTGTTGATTTGACAAAAAAATAGGCCTCGGTGAACGCCGCCTCATCAATAAATTTCGTTCTTATGCTTGATCTTTGGATACAGGTAACCCGATACTCAAAATTTCGCATACTTTCGCCAGCGCTATAGCGTAGAATTCCAGAGGAGTTTCAGCTTCTTGCATTTCGTAGTTTATTTAGGCGGGCCGAAACACAGCGTATCGCTTTCCCTATTGGGCCCTACAGTAGACACGCGTTCAGTGAACCGTCGTGCATGCTCGGTGCGTCCTCTCTTGAGAGGCACTCTGACATACGAATATTCCTGGACACCTAAAACGTCAACGCCAGAATTTCTATCAAGAAACGTAAACTCGACAAAATTGGACGGTATCTTTATACATATTTTTTTTTTTTAAATGAATAGATTCGTGACATGTTGTGACTTTATGATATTCCTTACTTTTTGAAGCAACCATTTACAGAACGAATAGAGCAGCCACAACAGAAAACAGGCCTTGACATCAAATTGATTTTTATCTTATTCAACATTTTGAAAACCCGTGACCTAGGAACAAAAACGAGGATGACACACATCGGGGTCTAAGTTCCTTTTTCGTGCACTTTTTTCGACGAGGTAGAGCGCCTTAGAGTGATAAACTGGCAGCTGAAACTTACCCCACTAACCGCCGCCAAGTTGCACAATCTTCACCAGAAGACACGTGACCTTATAGTTCTACGTCTACATTTTAACGAAGTACCGCGCACAAATAATTGCTTATTGATCTTTAATGATAGTAACGACGAGATAAGTTATCTTTCGTGCGTCTTACATCCAAAATGTGCTTTTACGACAAAAACTCGGGCAGCTTCGCAATGCCTCCCCTAGATGCCGTGAGCCGCGGTACTGTAGCTTGAGTTTTTATCGGTGCTAGGCACTGATCATTGGGGTAACAGTATTGAAAAAATAGTTTATCATGTTTTCTAGAGCGGTCGCAACACAAATCTCGGCTCAGTTTAGGGCAAAAGCCTCCGGAT